GCAGCATTACATCTACCCAGATCAGCAGCAAACCCAGGAGAAGCAATACAGAGTCAGTGACATCATAATGATTGAGCTGTATGATGGTATCAGTGATTAGTAGATCTTTTTGGATATAAAATCATGACTAATATTATTACCTGTCTTTAAAATTATATGATATGTGTTTACTACACGACATACACTTCAGCCACATCTTTAAGATATAGCACCCAATGCAACCATAGTGAAGGCAAGGATAAATAAATCAAGTTCAAGAGCTTCTGTACAGCAAAAGAGACATTACAAAAGACAAAAAGACATTCCACTGATTGGGAAAAAATTTTCTCACACAAAAATAGCGATAAAGGATTGATCACAAAGGTATATGAAGAACTAATGAAACTCAACAAAAATAAACAACCCCATCAAAAATGGGCAAAAGAACTAAAAAGACACTTCTCCAAAGAGGAAATGCAGATGGCCAACAAGCATATTAAAAAATGTTCAGCATCACTTGTAATAAGGGAGATGCAAATTAAAACCACAATGAGATACCACCTCACACCAGTGAGAATGGCACATCTTCAAACAACTAGCAACAAAAATGTTGGTGAGGATGTGGAAAAAAAGGAACTCTCTTGCACTGCTGGTGGGAATGCAAACTATGAAAAACTGTTTGGAGGTTCCTCAAACTGCTTAACATGGAGCTTCCATAGGATGCAGCAATCCCACTCCTAGGTATCTACCCAAAAGACCCAAAAACACTGATTCAAAAAGATACCTGTGCCCCCATGTTTATTTACAATTGGAAAGCCATGGAAACAGCCCAAATACCCAAAAGTAGATGACTGGATTAAAAAGATGTTGTACATATACACAATGGAATATTACTCAGCAACCAAAAAAATAAACACGTCTTTTGCAGCAACATGGATGGAGCTGGAAAAGATCATGATTAGTGAAATAAGCCAGAAAGAAAAAGAAAAATACCAGATGGTTTCACTCATAGCAGGAGTGTAAGGGACAAGTGAGAAAATAATAATAATGAACAGCTATATACCAGAGATATTTTATGGGGGTGGAGTGGGGAATGGGATCAAAAACAGTGGGGGGAGGGAAGTACACTGGACTAAGGTGATGGCACATGGGTGACTTGGTGTGGGAAACCCACAGATTGAAATTACAATTGAAATTTAAAAAAAAAAAGTGTACAAAATGATAAAAAAAAATAAACTAATTATGTTTAAAAAATTGAAAATGAAAAAAAAATGTATATGTGTTTGTATGTATCCTAACAAATCTCAGTTGTGACCATCATTAATTGGTTGGCACTCTAGAGCAGTGACCAGCAAACTATTGCTCAGAGTCCAAATCTAGCCTGACACCTGTTTTTGTAAATAAGGTTTTATGAGAACACAAACATGCTCATTCACTTGCACTATCTATGGATGCTTTTATGCAGCAACAACAGAATAGAATAGTGGTGAAAGAAAATGTAATGCTACAAAGTCAAATTATTTACTGGTTTCTTTTTTATACCAAAGGTTTATTGTCTCTTGGTGTAGATTTCAAGTTAAAGGTCATTGAAAGTATGCACATATTTTTTTCCTTTTTTTATGGTTAAGAGTGACATTTAGGAAACAGGATCATTACCCAGGACCAATTCCTCCTCCTTGGAAAAGGTACACATTTAGGACTAGAAAGTTTCACATCATGTCATGTCAGGTTTTAATAACATTTAAGAAACATCTTTACTACAAAATTTTGAAGTGGGTTGAATCTTTACTTGGTAGATAATGTCACAGTTTATCAAGACAGTTGGGGAAGAATGTTTTAATCCATGAGTGGATTGTGTTTCTTAGTATTTTGTAATAATTCAAGACTATCACCTAGTAAGTGAAATTATCCTAATAAGTTATTGCTTGGATTACAGTGGAACTTTTAAATACGTCTTTTCATTCAACTTTGTTTTTATACTGAATATGAGTATGTAGATCCCATACTCATTATGCTATGAGTAAAATAGATGATTATTTCAGTCTGGTTGTCTTGCAAATGTTGACCAGTTTATTTTTCAGACAACTATTGAGGTTACTCCTCAGTATTTAGATTACATAGATAATGCAATTGTTGTTGAACCTATAAGACATTACCAAGTTTCTATGTAATTTGTCTGTTAAATGAGTATCTCTATAGCTATTTATGGACAAGGATATTAGTAATTTACTTTGAACCATGATAAGGTAGCTGATACTAGACTCATACTCCTGCCACCAGAGAGTATAAAACTAGACAAACTGCTTAAAGCAACTATTTCTAGGCACTGATACTCATGCCTGTGATCCTTGAGAAAAAACACAAAATGTCAACTCCATTATTAAAGGGGTGAGGCCCCAAGTAAAGTGGCCATCCTGTTGAAATGAGAACATAATCAGAAGTCAAGTTTATAAAAGTGACAGGAATTTTGTGACCTAGCATACCTAAGCGTGTGTGTGTGTGTCTGTGTGTGTGTATGTGAGGGGAGGAAGGATAAATAAGACTCTACAAAGCTTATCCATGTTTACTTGCTGCAAAAGTGGTTAAAAAGTGATACAAAAGACTAAGCAGTGCTAAGAGAGAATGAATTTTCAGCACAATAGAGAGTAGTTAATAAGGACCTTGAAAACTTAATGGAGAAGCCAGAATCTAGTCCAAGAGAAAGAACCAAGACTGAGATTAAAACTCAAATGGACATATCTTGAAAATGAATAATGCCAAGGCTAACACAACTGAAAGAGCACCCCAGTAACTAATCTGCAAGACACACAAAATGTAAAGTCCTTTCAAGGAGGCCTGCCTCACATGGAACTAAGATGCTGTCTGTTGACTCCAAGTGCCGCCTCCAAGTTAAGTATGGTGTTTCATCCTCCAGAGATTCTCTCCTCTGATGGCTTCTTTCCACTAGAAAGAAAGGACTGCTTTACGTAAGTGGTTCATTTAACCAATGGAGCAAATAAAATGATGCTATGTCTGTAAGGACAGGTTTACGTCAAGTCTGAGCCCAGGATGAGACCCTATTGTACTACTTGATTTATGACCTTTTCCCCCCACACTCTATGTGAGCTGTTTTTGTTTCTGGGCTTTTATTTTTGCCACATTCCTGTTTTATCTTACTCTCGTTATTAGTTATGACATAGTCTGTGATGATGTCTTTCCAATTATTTTGTTGTCTGAATTTATTCTTTGTGACTGCAGGGAATCTAATAAAGGGTTCAAGAGAATAATTAAAGGGTTTGTGGAAAAACTAAGTAACAGTGTGCAACTTTAAAAAAAATATAATTCATCATCATATTAAAGTTGTTCTTTAGCAAAATGTATTTGTAAGAACATCTTTTTGTTCCTTCAGATGTTTTCTTTCTTATGGGATCAAAAATGGGGGGGGGGGGAAGGGAGGGAAATGCACGGGACTATGGTGGTGGCACACGGGTGATTTGGTGATGGGAAACCCGCGGGGATTACAATCGAGATGGAAAAAAAAATGTGCAAAATGATGTAAAAATAAACTTTTGTAAAATAAAATAAATAAAGATGTTTTCTTTCAAAGACCAGAAAGTCTTCTGATTACTGTTTGCATTTTTGTTGTGCAAACAGCACGTTTATATTATTGGATGTACTATAACGATATTCTTTTTACTCTCTTCTCACTGACCTATTTTTTACCAGTTATACCAGGTGACAGGGAAGAGGTAAGTAGCACATGTAGTTTTCTACCTTATGCGATCTACTTATTAACAGAATTTACCAAGAACGCTACGGTAAGTCAGAAACTTATTCCCCGTTTTTGTGAAGGCACGCATTTCCAATCATATTAAATCAGTTTTGGGTTGCTTCGACTCAAATTATGCCTCAAAGCAAGAAAATAAATCAGAAGGAGTCTCTAGATAGGAGCTCATGGCTGTTATTTTGTGATGTCCTGAACCCACATCAAGGTCAGCCTTGCCTTTGGGGTTACAGCACCACTGAGTGGGACAGAACTAATGTCACAAAGAACAGTAAAAGCAACTTTGCTTGCAGGCCCATAGCTATGCAAAATGTTGATGAAAACACAGAAACTGTAGCAACTGCAGGAATTCCCATGCCCAAATCCTTTAGTCTCGACAATATTCTCATTCTCATTCACTTTTGGGTAGGGGAAACACATTCCTATGGGAGCCTGTGCAGTCTTAGTCATAAACAGAATTCTTGCATTTACTGCAAACTGCATCTCTCTAATTTTTCACTCCCAGCCCTAGTCCAGTTCTCTCATGCTGGGGGGTGTGGGTGGGAGGAGGACTGCCTCTTCTTCAGAGTTAATTCTTCATATTAAATTTTCCAAATACTGGAGGTACATATTGTGCTCTCCTTTTACGGGGTCATTTTCTCTAGAATCCTTCAACTGTTTCTCATTTCACATTTAGCCATCCTAATTCCCATACCTATTTTACACAGGTTTGTCACAGTTCTTCCTGAAAAGCCCTCATCCCTCTGCGCAGAACCATACCCTGCTGAGAAGAAAAACGACATTCTTGCTCAAATTGTGAGAAGGCAGCCAGAATCTCTTAAATTCAAAGTTAAGGCTTCACTTGAAGAAAAGGGACTGCAAGAAGGCAGTCTGAGGCAATGCCAAGCTTTATCTGCTCAGGATCACCAGCTACACCTCCAAGGCGCAGTGCGGTGTGAGGCAAGCAGAAACCGGAAGGTCATTGCAAAGTGAACTACTCAGATAAAGTGACAATCTGCTTTTTTGACTGCTCCCCTCATCCATCCGTCCTCATTTCGTCGGACCCTCCATTTGCGGTAAAACTCTCCAATTTACCCGCTAAGACTAAAACATAAACACCCACCGAGGCGCAAGTGCACAGCTACTTCCGGGTCACTTGCGAGGCTGAGGCGAGGAGAGCGACGCCTCTTCCGCAGAAGGAGGCGTTGAGGGCCGGGCTGCGGTTCCGCGCCGCAAGACGCCCACTATCGCGCATGCTCAAACGAAGCACTCGATACTTCCGCCTCCGGTGGCTTTTTCTCAAGCGTTTCCAAAGTGGGAGACCGTTTAGTGTGCTTCTCTGGCTTTGGATTGGTAAGTTGCGCATGGAGATCACATCATCCACCATGTGGAACTGGAAGAGATCTGCTAGAACTCAGTCGTATTTTCTTTGATATTTTCTCCTGAAACCTGAGTTCTGAAAATGAGGCAGAAAGAGTGGAGAAGCGTTGGTTACCGTGGCAACTGCTTGACGCCAGTGTAGTTTGAGAATTTAGGAAGTGAACTCTTCCCTGTAATGACGCCTTAAAATACTTGTGGGTCGGATGCAGATTTGGGTGTTACTTCAAACCCATTCTCCAAGCCTTAGGATTTGAATTTAAAAGGTTTCTTCTGACTGTAATGTAGATGAGGCAGGAGAACTAGTTATAAAGCTAGTTCCTTAGTCGAGGCGCAGTTTGAAGATTTACGGAACTAGGTGAGAGCGGGGAGAGGATAGGAAAATGCTGTCGTAGCACCATCAGCATCTATCGGTTGGTGGTAGACCGGGACTGAGGAGGTGGGCCCCGCGCATTTTGAGGTTTAAGTCCATGTTTATTTGTAGCTGTCAGTTCTACTCTTTTGGCCCCTTCTACCCAGAGCAGGAGGACGCTGTTCATGCTAAATCTTTCTGGTTTCTAAAATATGAACCTCATCTTTCTTGTAAGGTTGGGCTATACTGCGTAATTTTAAGCTTCTCGGGTTTTTCAACATGTAAATTAAATAAGACATTTCAAAAGTAAAATTTTCTAAATTAGATGGTGTATATGCCTGGTGTATATAAAAGGACTTGATATTTAGTCGTGTTATATATTACTTAACATATATATGCATCACTTTGTTGTGTTTTACAATTAAAGGAACAAAAAAACCCCTTTCTTTTGGTTTGCTTTTTTGGATGAATTCTTTTTTTGACTGACTGATATAATTAAACTCATGTCTTACCTTAAAGAAACTACCAAGTGTCATTCCTTTAAATTTTGCTGATCAGATGATTCTTACTAAATGAAAAGAGATGACTTTTTTTTTTTTAATAGCTCAGAAGCCTGTGGATTGAGTTGTGCAAATACTGATTTTAATGTTCTCAGTCTGGAATCGCTATGAGTGATTTCAGTGAAGAACTGATAAGGCCCTCATCAGAGGATGATAAGGTGGAAAAATGTGTGCTTTCTGGTAAAGGAATGTATTTTCCTTGGCTCCGAAAGCTTGTGGAAACTGTAGGTAAGTAAAATAATTAGTAATTTTTTTTTTTTAAAAGATTTATTTATTTATTTGTGTATACAGAACTGGGGTACAGGCCAGAGGCTCAGGGGCGGTGAGAGGCTTCACCAGAGACAGAGTGGGGAGCAGAACAGGCAGAACGACAAAGTACACTGCTGAGGGAAGCAGCGGGCGGGTCAGGAGAGGTCTGGCTCGCCATGTGGTCTCCTCCGGGGCAGGAGGCAGCCGGGAATCGAACTCATGCGGAAGTGGCTTCAGCTTCTTAGTGCTGTGCTTTAACCCGCTGCACCACCAGGGAGGGCCAATAATTAGTAATTTTAACGTTAATGAAAGGAAGTAAGATTCAGTGTGGATACAAAATGAAAAACCAAGGTTGTTTTTCTGATCAAAATAGATGAATTTTTTTTAATTATAAGGGAAAAAAGGTGTTGTTTTTAATGTGTTATTTTCTTAGAATTAATAGCAACCTGTAATACACTTTTTTTCAGGGGTGCAATACAGCATTATATGACTGGTAATGGCTAAATATTGGGAGATACTTTGGTGAAGAAGAAACAAGCTCTACCTTTGAAGAGTACATTAACCTAGGAAGCATTCAAGAGTGTCTGTCACATTACATTGAATTCATTCCTAATATAGTTGGTCTATAATACATTTCAAAAATAGTATATCCTCCTTTTTCATCTAATGTAAATATAAGCATTTTTTTCTGTGGGATGAATAGCCTATCAGAATGTAGAAAAGAAGGAGTTACTGTTTGTTGTATTGGGTGGTGTAGTTTAGATGTACTTGAATTAGCACTTTGTTTATTGCCCTGAAATACATCTTCCTTGGCTGATTTTTTGTTCTCCTTGAGTATTTTGTAAAATAATTGCTGTCAAGATTGCTTTCATATGGTACCTAGTAGTCCATGTGTACTTCACAGAGGTAAGGGTACCTCAGCTAAACAACTCCTGGCCTGTAGGGCTCTTACAGTCCTACAGGAATGGAAGAGGAGGTTGTCACATGTAACTTGTTCTTCATACAGCAGAGTTGTAATTCAGCCCAAATATTGTTTAGAGAGCTGAAATCTTATGTCTACAACTGTTTTAATCTCATTTGCATTTAACATTTGTTGAGTTACTTGGAACTGGGTCCTTAAAAAAAGTAAAATCCGGGCCCTCCCTGGTGGCGCAATGGGTTAGGACACAGCACTGCAAACTGGTCACAGCCTCTTCAATGTGAGTTTGATCCCGGGCCAGGAAGGTGACCCACATGGCGCGGCAGACCTTTCCTGACCCACCCGCTGCTCCCTCAGCAGTGTACTTCATTGATCTGCCTGTTATGCTCCCCACTCTGTCTCTGGTGAAGCCTCTTACCTCCGGCACCTCTGGCCTGTACCTAGTTCTGTATGCATAAATAAATCTTGAAAAAATAAAAAAAAGATTAAAAAAAAATTCCCTCTTAGCATTTTCACATGGTGGGTGGGTAATAAACACTGCTTACCTGATTGTTTTTACCCATTCTAAGTACCTGGTATGGTGCTTTTGGAGCTCTGACCCAGAGATTCTACCCAGATTGTTTAGCACAAAGAGGAAAGAACAATTAACAAGAGATTTGAAGGATCTGGTTACTGGTAGCTCAAGAGCATCTAATTAAGACATCTCTAACTTAACCACACTTCTTTATTAGCCAAATTCTACTTGAAATAGTGTGTTTCAAGTAAAACTAGCTTTGCTATTTGCTGGTTGACTTGGTTAAGTCGTACTTATTGTTATACTTGTTAAGACTCCTGCTTGTCAGAAGGAAGTTTTTTGAACTAAATCAAGGTCACTATGGATGAAGACACTTCTGTTTGATCTTTTTAGAGACTGGAGGGAGAAAGGAGAAAGATTTTGCCCAGACAACAAATGCTTGCTTAAATTTTATCCAAGAAGCTCTGCAGAAGCAGCAGTGGCAGCGAGCTGCAGAATACATGCACAGTTATTTACAGATCTTGGAAGACTCTGACAGCTACAAAAGGCAGGCTGCTCCCGAGGTAACTTGGTGTGAATTTACTGGAGGAAATACAGGTTTCTGGGACATTATGCCTCTTGAGCTCCACCCAGCTTTTTCAGCATCTCAAAAATTGATTTTACCAAAAATTACTAAAAGTAGTTTTAGATGGAGAGTTTGTATGCATACATTTGTTCACACACTTTTTACTTGCTGTCCTTTTAGGACACAAAATCTCACATTCCCCATACTTAGTCATTGGTTTTACCTGAACTCTTCCTTGGTCTTATTTAGTTCATTTCAATAATTCTTCCTTCTTTCTGTATGGCTGTTGTTTTCCACTTCTTTAGCAGTTTCTCTTCATTACAAATATTATTTCTTCCATGTTAAAATCATCTCCTGACCCTACTACCTCCACTAACTAGGCCCTATTTTTCCACTCCCTTCCAGCAAAGATCTTTGAAAGAGTTATATATACTTGTTTCATCCAAATTCTCTCCAGTTAGGCTCCCTCTTAGTCCCACCGTCATCATTTCTAGATTGTTTTGTCATGGTCAAGAGTAAGATTTTCACTTTACTGAATACAGTGGCCAGTTTTCAATGCTTTGTCAACGTGCACAACAGAGTAGGCCACCCCCTGCTATGTGACAGCGTGTCTTCCTGTAGCCCCCAGCACACTGCCCTCTGTCCTTTTTCTGCTTCCTTGCTTATCCTTCAGTCTCCTAGTGTGGCTGCTGCTCTTCTCCTTGACCCTTGGAGTGCTTCAGAACTCAATCATTAGACCTCTTTATCTGAACACTCTTGATCTTGATTTAGTTTTATGACCTTACATCTAGTCTATAAGCTAGAGATTCCCAATTGTATTTCTGTTATTCAGACATCTTTTGCAAGTTCAGATTCTTATATCCAGTGGTCTACTTCACTTTACTGCTTGCATAACTAATGGTCATGTCATACTAACATATGTAAAGGGGTCTCCTGACCCTTGGAGTGCCTCAGAACTCAATCATTAGACCTCTTTATCTGAACACTCTTGATCTTGATTTAGTTTTATGACCTTACATCTAGTCTATAAGCTAGAGATTCCCAATTGTATTTCTGTTATTCAGACATCTTTTGCAAGTTCAGATTCTTATATCCAGTGGTCTACTTCACTTTACTGCTTGCATAACTAATGGTCATGTCATACTAACATATGTAAAGGGGTCTCCTGCTCATCCCTGTCCAGTCTTGTTTTCCTCATTTCAGATCATGTTTACTTTATGTATGATTGATAAGCCCCAATTCTAAATAGCATTTGCTTTCTTTCATAACTCATATCCAGACCGTCAAAAAAATTATGTTGACTCCACTTTCAGAATATACTTGCAGTCTGAGTGCTTCTCGCCCCCCTGGTTAAGCGCCTTCATCCAAGCCACCATTACCTCAGAGACAACCGCTCACCTTCCTTCACCTCCCTTTCAACATAATAGCCAGAGTGATTGTCTCTTTTTCTTAAATAGTTTTATTTAGATATAACAAACACACACCATACACCCATTTAAATCACACAATTCAAGGTTTTTTTGACTATTGTAAGATATAACACCATTACCAAATCTAAATTTTAGACCTTTTTGTCCCCAAAGAAGAAACCCTATACTTAATTGCATTTGCTGTTTTTACCCTTAACCACCAGTCGTTGGCAACCACTGGATCTATGTACTTTTTATTCTGGTATTTCATGTCAGTGGAGTCCTTTGGCCTTTTGTGGGTCACTTGCACTGAACATAATGTTTTCAAGGTTTATCCATGGAGTGTTTCCTTTTTATTGCCAACTTATATTCCGCATGGATGTATCACATTTTCTGTATCCACTCTTCAGTTGTTAGACATGTGGGTTGTTTCCTCTTGTTGCTGATAAATAATGCTTTTATGAACATTCACATACAAGTGTTTGTATGAATGTTTGTTGATGTATCTTTTGGAGCTGTACCGTGGAGTGAAATTGCTGAGTCGTATGGTAACCAACTATTATGCTGTTTTCCAAAGTGGCTACACCACTTACATTGCTACCAGCAATATATGAGGGTTCCAATTTCTTCACATCCTCACCAATACTTAGCTATTTTCTGTCTTTTCGATTGTAGCCATCCTTGTGTTGTGAAGTGGTGTCTCATGGTGATTTGACTTTACTGCCCTAATGACTAATGGTGTAGCACGTTCCTTTAAAACATAAGTCAGATCCTGTCATCCTTCTGCTAAAAACACTGTAATGGCTTTTCATTTCACTCATAATAAAAGCCAGAATCCTTCTGATTGCCAGTAAGTTCACGATCTGCTCATTTCTTTCCCCCTCTCTCCTTTCACTTCATCTCTTAATGTCTCCTACTTTTTCCTCTTTAACCTCTCTGGCCTCTCCTTGCTCATACTGAACAAGTCAGAAATACTCCTGCCTGATTGCATTCACCCTAGCTATTTCCACGATGTGGAAAGGTTTTTCTTCAGATATTGCTGTGGCTTCCTCATTCAAGTCACATTTTCAGTGAGGACTAACATGACTATCTAATAAAACTGCAGGGGCCTATGAGTCCCCTCTGCTCTCCAACTGGCACTTTTATCACTTTTTCCTGTTTTAACATTGTAATCAGAAAAGTAAAATAGCTTTTGTCAGCAGAAATTAAGATAAGGATATTATATTTCTCTTAGTAATTTTTGTTTTGGCAGATTATTTGGAAACTTGGAAGTGAAATTCTATATTACCACCCTAAAAGCAATGTGGAGACTTTCAATACCTTTGCAGACCGGATGAAGAATATTGGTGTCATGAATTACTTAAAGGTGAGAACTAGGTTTTGTCAGTTTAAATTTACATTGTTCATTGTTATAAGTTGCTGTGTTGGTGATAAACATGACATAAAAAGGGTTAAGACACCTGGATAAATAAGAGTAGTGGAAAGAAAGAAAGCATCATGAGAACTATTTCCTTGTCATTTTTTGTCACCTATTGGGTTCACTGACTGGAAATGCCTTCTCTTAGAAGATCTCTGGCACTTGTGCTTTGTTGTGATGATGGGCCAAATTGTACTATTTTTCTGAGGTTATTTGAACTCCCTAGGAATAGGTACATGTGAGGCAAAAAAGTGCCAGACGCATTGAGAATTTAAATATGTGAACTGTCTTTTCATGACTATAAGATATCACCTCACTTTGATTAAGAAAACAGTTTAATTTTCAATAGTTTTAAATGCTCATAATTTTAATTTTTTCATTTTTCCTAAAGAACATAGCTCTGCCCGCCATATCTGTCCATATTGTCAACAGCTACTTTTAACCTGAAGATGATGTACTTAAGTAGCTGTTGATGGAGAGACTATATCCCACAAGTCCTTGTTCTCTGATTCTTTTTTTTTAACTTTTTCTATTTCCCAAAATTTGTTTTATTGTGATTAAAAGAACACAAAGAATCCATTTTGAAGTGTCCAGTTCAGCAGCATTAATACATTAAGTGTTGTGCAACCACTGGTGTTTACAAAACCTTTCCATCATCCCAATCAGAAACTGTGTCTCCCCTACCCATGACACTACTACTTACTGCCTCCTTGTCTTAGCCCTTGGTAATCTCATCTGTTTTCTGTCTCCGTTAATATCTAGATATTCATTAGAGAATCTTACAGTGATTATAGTTTTGTGTCTGGCTTATTTCACTTAGTGTGTTTTCAGAATTTATCCACATTGCACCATATCACAGAATACTCTTGTTTTTTTAGCATTCTATTATATGTATCACATTTATTTATCCAGTCATCTGCTTTGAGTTGTTTCTCCCTTTGATGATTGTGAATAATGCTGTATTGAGCATGGACCTTCAATTACCTATTTGAGAGCCTGTTTTTTCAGTTCCTTTGGGTATATGGTATATACACCAAGGAGTAGAATTGCTGCATCGTGTTATATGACACGAACCTGCACATTAATTTATATATAGGAAATACAAATAAGCATATAATTCTACTGAATTTTCTAGGAATCACCAAAATGCTTCCAGCTATCACATTTTACATTCTCCCAGCTTTCTGATTAAAAAAAAGATTTCTCCTAGTTTAGAATCCTTTTTTGACCTCATTTACTAATTTAGGAAAAATGTACAAGTTTCTACTTGTGTGTCAGGCACTCTCATCAACTTGTTCCTTAGTGGACCAGGTCTGCTGTGAGTGAAAATTAAATGGAGCCAGCTTCTGGCCACTTAAGGAAGCACTTTCCAACTATAATTAGAGAAAGGAAGAGCTTGCCTTGGCATTGTTTGCTCCTTTCTCTTTTGTCTGTAAGATACCTGGTAGGCATTTGATTGGAGACAGAGGCTAGAGCTTTAAGTAAATTTTAGGTTGGGGCATGTCCTTTTGAGCACAGAAGCTACAATTCAGTAGAAGAATGCTAGGCAGAATCTTACCAGTGACTTCAGCATCTGAAGGTGATAGAGAGGTAGTCATTAAAAGTAGGGTTTTTTGTTTTTGTTTTTGTTTTTGTTTTGGTAATACTTTTGAAAGCACAAATTGCTGTTTTCCAGACAGTATTTTAGACATAGTTCTCACAGTAGAGGGAGACAGGCATATAATTGGAATTAGCTGTTAAGGGTACCACAGTAGAAATGCAACATATGGTGAGAAGACAAAGTAAAATAGGCTGCTCTCTGAAATTTGGGCTGGAATCAAATGTATAGAGGAATCAGGAGAACAGGAAGTGATGTTTGAGATGAAACTGAAAAGCTAGAGGGAAAGGGTACTGTGGCACACAGGGAGGTCATGAAGAGTATAACAGCCCTGTGTACAGTGCTCTTACTTTTCAAAAGATAATTGGGTAGAAGTCAGGGGAGGTGGCTGGACCCGTGTGCCGCTCCCAAGGGTCTTGGAGCTTATGCTATAGGCAGTGGGACCCACTGAAGGCATTTGAACAATGACCAGCAAGCTATAGTTTCTTTGACTTTTTCATGGGAAATAGATTGAGAGATCAGCTGAAATGAAAATCTCGAACTCTGAGTTGACTCTACTAACATAATTAACTGTCCTTCCCATTCTCCTTCTCCTCCATGTCCTCCTTCCTTGTGCTTCTTGTTCTTTATGTAATTGTTCTCACTGCTTCTCCTCTGTCAGAGATACACTTTGCTTTCTATCTGCACCAACACTATTCTTCAGTGCCATTAAAGATATTTTCTCTGAGCTTATACAGCATGTATAAAATAGTTATTAGTTACTGGATGTGGACCAAACTGTTAGGTAGTAGGCAAATATTTAGTCCTTGTGACACCCTTTGAAGCGTTGAGAGAATCTTCCCTTTTAACAGTGACATTTAAGGCTGAGTGACTTACTCAGGTGACGAGTTTATTAAGCAGTCTGGACTAGGACTCAGTTTTCTAAACCCCTGTTCTTTGCACTAGATCACACTGCCCTCTGTTGCGAGTTTCTGTAATGTAGCTCTCATTTACACAATGTTCATTATTTGTCTTTGTTGATTGTGCGGTTGAAAATTTGATGACAGAAACAGTGCTGTTAAATCATTTGTGTCCCTTTTTTTTTTTTTTTTTTAAAGATTTATTTATTTGTACATACAGAACTGGGGTACAGGCCAGAGGCTCAGGGGCGGTGAGAGGCTTCACCAGAGACAGAGTGGGGAGCAGAACAGGCAGATCGACGAATTACTGCTGAGGGGAGCAGCAGGCGAGACAGGAGAGGTCTGCCGCGCCATGTGGTCTCCTCCGGGGCAGGCGGGATTTGAACTCATGCGGAAGTGGCTTCAGCTTCTCAGTGCAGTGCTTTAACCCGCTGCGCCACCAGGGAGGGCCTGTGTCCCTTTTTTTAATCGTATTCTTACCAAGTTTAATGACCAAGGTTGTCTAATGACCTTACATTGGTGTGCTTTATTATTGTTACAGATCTCCTTACAACATGCCTTGTACCTCTTGCACCATGGAATGCTTGAAGATGCAAACAGAAGTCTCAGCCAAGCAGAGACATGGAGATATGGTGAAAAGTCATCTTCCCAGGAAATATTAATTAACCTCGTTCAAGCCTACAAAGGGCTTTTGCAATATTACACTTGGTCTAAAAAGAAGATGGAATTGTCTAAACTTGGTGAGTAAATGGGAATGAGCTTTTTCTTGTGATGTTGAGACTGAATCAGGAACAAAGGGAGCTTGGGGAGTAATCATTTCTCTAGTTCCAAGCCTGGCTTTATCCATAGTACAGGGAACATTTCTATTGATGTAAACATTTTGGTCATCATTTATAATATTGATGGTATATCAGACTTTCAGACATCAGTTAGATGATTCACAAGTCAAATTTATGACCACCATTCATTGCTTCTTTAAAACATGATTTCCAAGACAGTACACAAACTTTCCTCTCTTTGCATTGTTGCATATAATCAACATTTGGTTTTGTGGGTTTAGAATGACATTTATTTTGTTTATAGTGTTTGTCAGGATAGGGTGTTTAAAGAATAAAGAGAGAGAAAATTATTTCATTTCTGTACAGAAGATGTAGCAGTTTTCTTGACTTACTCACATCCCCTCCTCCCCAAATTAGCCATGTACCCTTCTTAAACTAAATTTCCTTTCTGTTACCTTTTCATGGCAATGTTGTCCTCGACTATCCACAGATTTGTATTTTTTGGAGCTGTCTAAATCTCTGCATTTTCTATATCTCACGTATTGTTCTCCATAGCTTCTCTAGGACAGACCCATATCATTTCATTTCCTCCTGTATCCAATTATCAGGCCTGCTGTTAGTCACATCACAGGTGGTGTCACAGTGTTTCCATACTATCCATGTAATAAGTAGTATTTCTTGCTTCTCCTGGCCTGTGGGTTCACTAACCTCAAAATTCCCTTCCTTCTTTCTATTTATGATCTCTCCCAAAACACTTCTCATATTCTTTCTTCATGATCATTTTGATCTTTGTGTAGTCTCTCCATCTACAGTGCCATCAGCCCTTTAAGACTTTAGAGCCCTCATTCTTGTGCCTTAAACCTTATAGATCAACAACCACATGTTCTGCCTGTATCATTTGGCTCTTCATCTCTGCTTTTCAGTTTTCCTGTTTTTTTATGTATGTTTTATATCATATCTTGTTAACTCTGCCTTATATGCCTCCTGAAATGTTTCTCTTTTGGAAGATACTGATATTGATTAGGTAAGTTTTTAAGTCATTATTTACTTTCCTCCTCTCAGATGGTCAAGTTGAAGTCAAGCAAATATTTGATGATTCAAGTAGTTGGTGGAACATGGCATTTACATCATAATTCCCATAGGTGGATGATTCAGTACCTCTTTGCAGCTGTTAGTGTTGTATGGCAACAGATGAAGAAGAGGGATTGTTATGTGGGTCTCCTTAAGATGATCTTTAACCCTAAATATCTGTTTAATGAGGGAAAAAAAGTTAAAACTAGTTCTGTGTAACCTAACACATAAGAAATATAACATGGGCACTTGTACTCAGAGTTGGTTTGCGATTGTTTCTGTGGCCTGTTCTGGTTGGTTTTCATGCACTGAGAACCACTTTAGTAAATTCAAACCCAGCTTATACTTACTTGGGGAGTCTTTTTCTTTAAAACATTTAATCTGGAACTGCCAGATTTTTTTCCAAGCAACCATGCCATTTATATTCCCAGCAGCATATGAACCTACTAACTTCACCTCTTAACTTTTGCCTTGCTTGCCTTTTGGGTTTGTTCTTATTCTGTTGATTTGATGTATTGGATGCATCGGTTTTCCAGGGACAGTCAGGGATTATAGAGCCCACTTGGACATGGTGTATAATCCTTTTTAGATGTTGCTAGATTCACTTTCAAAAGCATTTGTGAGGACTTTTGTGTCTCTATTCACCAACTTTCTGTGTTTGCCCGATTTTGATATTAGAATAGTACTACTGTCATTGAGTCACTTGGGAAGTGTCACCTCAATTCTTTTTTGGGGGAAGAGTTTGTGAAAAATTATTATCATTCGTTGAATGTTAGGATTCACCACTGAAGCTAAAGTGCATACACTTTTCTTGTGTGTAGTTTGTTAGTAATAATTCAGTGAAAGTTCTCAAAACTGACTGACTTTGAACCATCTTTTGTCTTTGGGCAGATGAGGATGATTATGCTTACAACGCAGCATCCCAGAATATGCTCAACCACAGTTGGAAGACATCTATAAATCTCGGTCCGTTGATTAAAATTCCGGGTGTTTGGGACCCTTTTGTGAAGTGTTATGTAGAGGTAAGTAGACCTTTCATAAAGTTTTATTAGGTCAATTTAGTTGTAAGCCAAATCTACTGATCAGAAGGCAACTGATAGAAGTGTTCAAAAAAAAAGAAAAGAATTTGATGTCTCTGGTCTGAATAATTTTTGTTATGTTTGTTATATTATCGTATACTATGAATGTTGCTCTTGTTTATCTTTCCCATTGGACAACATGTTGTGGTCACTTACATATAAAATAAAGAGCAATGGAATTGCAAATGCTCTGCTTTGTGGCTAAAGCCAAGTAGGGAGGCCGCTGAGGTGGCTGCATTGTGTGGTCTTCTCTCAGTTGGTAGTGTGCCCTACTTAAAGGACTTCAGTGCTTACAGCAATGGTTCTTAGGTTGCTGCATTTTTCAGTCACAAAATAAGGTCAGGAAAAAATGAGAAACCATGTGGGACTTTGTTGTAAGAGATGTGTCCCATAGATTGTAATATACTGCTGAAAGCAAGAAGTTTCCTTACTGTTATCTCTGTACAGTGAGTATGTTTGTTAGCTGTGTAGCTTTTGTACCCACCTGTAAATTTAAGCTGTGCCTTCTCTCTCATAGAGCTGTTTTGCAGAACTGCGGTAAGATATTATGACTTTTTATATAGGTGTTGGATTTCTATGGGGATCATGATGGAGCCCGAGAAGTGCTCACCAATTATGCCTATGATGAAAAGTTCCCATCAAATCCTAATGCCCATATCTACTTATACAACTTTCTAAAGAAAGAGAAGGCACCAAAAGAGAAACTAATAAGTGTGCTTAAGGTACAGAATTTTTCTTTAAGTTTTGAAAGGATTGTGGATTTGCTTTAAAATATCCGTAGGTCATTGCTTTCCAGCATTACTATCGCAGAGCCCACAGAAAATGCCAATGCATGTGTGACATAATCAGGTAAATGGGAAGCTGCAGGCTCCAGGCAGACCCTACACCACTGCCAACACCAGTGAGACTAAGGGGAGAGGGTCAATATATTCAGCAGCCCTGGGGCCACCCTGCTTGGAGAGCTCTACATTGCTATATTCAGAAAATCACCTTTATTGAAGTTTACCTTAGATGCAATGAAATACTACTTTTAAGCGTGCGCTTAGATGCATGGACAGACTAAGGCATCCACGTGCATCTACTCTGGCGGTGCTTGCCTTAGAAAGCCCTGTGTTATCTTTCACAGCTGCCAGCCTAGCCTTGCCCCAGGCAGTCATGGACCTCGGCTCTCCCTATAGATCAATTTTATTTTTTTAGAATTTTATATAAATGAAATTTGACAGTATGTATTCTTTCTTTTTAGTCTGAGTTTTCTTACTCTACACATTACCTTGTCAGTACTTTGTCCCTTATTATTGCTGGTGATATTCTGTTTTTATGCCTTTAGTTTAGTTTCCCTTTAGTTAGAACTGCTACTGTGCACACTCGTGCTTTTGTTTGCACGATTATTTATGTTTTAGGGATGGGGTCACTCCCTAAGAGTGGAATTGTTAAAAGGTAAGTCGAAGTTTTTAAGAAACTGCCGGCTGTTTTCTGAAGTGACTATGCCATTGACTTTCCCACCAGCACCTTCGGCACATCGGCCTCCATATCCATGCCAGTGCTTGCCAGCCTCGGAGTTAGAGCCATTCTGCTAGGTGTGCCATGGCCTCATTGAGGCTTTACCTTGCTACAACCTGCACAGTTTCTCTAAGGATAGTACTGTTGAGCATCTCTGAATATGCCTGTTGGCTAGTCATGTATCATGAAGTATCTAGTGAAATATTTTGATCTATTTTGGAGAGGACTTTTTTGTTTTCTTTTTATTTGGGAGCTCTTTTGTAACCTGGATTTTCTTTTCTTGTGACAAAATAGACATGTCAAAAATTGTACCATTCCAACCATTTTTAAGGGTATGCTTTTGTGGCATTTACTACATCACAGTTCTGTGCAACCATCGCTATTTATATCCACAACTTTTTCATCATCCCACATGGAAGCTCTGTATCCATTGAAGAATAATTGCCCATTAATTAGAGAAATTAACAAAGATTCATCTTTTAAATTCCTGGAAATTATATCAGTGTAAAGTTAAAACACCTCGAGAAGCAGATAGGGTAAACTTCTTTTTTTAAGTGTGTTGAAGTGAAAAATACAACGTTAGTTTAAATCCTATATTTTTGCGCTTCCTTGAAAATGGTCCTTTTTTTTAAAAAAAAGATTTATTTGTGTATACAGAACTGGGGTACATGTCAGAGGTACAGGGGCGGTGAGAGGATTCGCCAGACAGGGAACAGAACAGATTGATGAAGTACACTGCTGAGGGGAGCAGCGGGCGGGTCAGGAGAGGTCGCTGAGCCAGGTGGATCACCCCTGGGGCGGGAAGGAAGGGTTCGTACTCATGCTGAAGTGGCTTTAGCTTCTTAATGCTGTGTTTTAACCCACTGCACCACCAGGGAGGGCCCGAAAATGGTCCTTCTTATTCATAAAAAGAACAACTTTTATTTCTCTCTACTGTATAAAAAGGTTAACAATATTTATTTGAGCATTCACACAGTATTATGTTACTGAACATTCTTAAAAATAGCCACCCTTCTTGGGGTGTTTTACTTTATATAAATACTCTGACCTTTTATGGTTAATAAATACTCAGTAATCTCTTTTGTGACATGTTGGTTGTTTTCCCCTTATCTGCTAACTCAGTCCTGGCTTCTGAAACGAAATTGTTGTTAACTGTGGAAAACAATATAAAAATGAATAAAGAGAAAATAAAACGTTCCATCTACTTCCCTCCCCACCTGCTCCCGAACTATCTTTTTATTAGCAAGGATTTGTTTTTAAATAGCTTTTTGTAGAACACTTTCTATTCCCAAAATGAAAGTGGATTAAAGCAAAGTGTCCTGAGTCCTTATAGCAAGGGCAGATCAGTAAGATCTTTATTTGAAACCAAGCTAAAATTTGAAAAATGCTTTTAGAATGTGTAAAAATTCAAGGTTATTCTTTCTTTCAGATCTTGTATCAAATTGTACCATCTCATAAACTGATGTTAGAATTTCATAGATTACTGAGAAAATCAGGCAAGTAATTTTGTTACATATTTCTTCGTGCACACTGGAGAGTAGGGTCAGTAGACAGTCCTGTGCAGCAAATCTAGCCCACACCTGTTCTTGTAAGTCAAGGTGTGCCCATCATTCCCTAATGTCGGAGGCTGCTCTTGCACCTTGACAGAAGCGTGTTTGTGTTTGTGACTTAGCTCAGATAGTTCACAAAGCTTAGCTACTGCCTTCTCCTTTACAGTTTTCTGTCCCTTGTGATGGAAGGTTAGGCAATAATTAGCAAAAGAGTTAGGGAATTTGTTATCCCTACTCAATATAGAATGAACATGCTTCATAGGAAAAAGACTAGCTATGTCTAATAGGTACTAGGATTGCCTTGGTATTTCTCCTGCTAGAAGAGAACATATCTATTTGCACAAATAAGGCAGCAACTTTTAGTAATGTTCTCAGGAATCTAGAGCACATTTAGAGATTAAATATACCACCCTAATATATCAGTATGGATTAAATTATTTAACTTTCAGATTCATATAGAAGTATATAGGGTGTACTGAGTTGTTTTAATATATCAGTATGGATTGAATTAAACTTTTCAGATTCATATAGAAGTATATAGGGTGTACTGAGTTGTTTTAAACTGTTAACCAAATAAGAAGGCTTATGATTCAGTAATATTTTGTCCACTAATTTTGTTTAGCACTTCACTGTCTTGTGTTAACTATATGCTATGCCCATTTCAGACAAAGAAGAACACCACAAACTGGGGTTGGAGGTATTATTTGGAATCTTAGATTTTGCTGGATGCACTAAAAATATAATTGCTTGGAAATATTTGGCAAAATATCTCAGACAGACCTTAGTGGGGTAAGTTAGAGACTCAAAGCAATTACTCTGAGGTCACTGTAAATAATATTTCCCAGTATTTTAGCCGATAACAGTCTTTAAAGTTTCCTTTTATATTTTCGTTCTTGAATTGTTTCTTAAGCTGTTTTCTTCTGAATACATCAGAAGCAAGGAAATGAAGGAATCTATTAAGTTTTTTTATGTTATTAAAAGAAACATTCCTTACACTTTACTGCTAAGAAGTATGTGTGTTTTCAAATTAGAAATTAGGACCACATGGGGTCACTGCTACTGTTCATAAAGGACTTTGTGGTGTATATGATCCTCTTCTAAAACCCCAGTTGTTTTCAATGAGGTGTGAGACCTCATATGATCATCAGAAGTTATTTGTTCAACAAATGTTTAAGTCTGTTGTGAACTAGTTATCTAAAACTATCCCACTGACCCTGTTGACATTAGTGCCACATTTTGAATAAAAAGCCATTGGAATGGTCTTTATCGTTTTTACTTTTTTTACGAGAAGAAGGGATATCATAGAATTTGGTTTCATTTATCATGTCCACTTTCATTGCTTAGGGAATTCATTATCAATGGGAACTTGTTTCAGGCTTTTGATATGACTTTACCTGGAGATACTGATCATGAAATGTTTCTGGTGTGATATATCAGTGTATTTAGTGTGGATTCCCCTGCTCCCCTTGTCAGGATGTAGTCTTGGCACCCAGAGTTTCTGCAGTCAAGTTAAAAGGTAGAGTAAGGCAGGGAACTCACCCGGACAAAAGTCTTAGATTGAGGCTATCTGCTGAAAACAGCAGACAGTCATTATGACCAGATTAGCATAACCAGTTAGACCACCTTGACAGGAAGTTAATGTAAACCGGGAGTAGAAAGCCAATGTTTTGATCAGTAGCTACAATGGGACCCCCAGGTAACAGTCCCTATCCATTGCCCCCTAGCTTGTGCCAGACAATTATACATCCCCAATCCATACTTCCACAGCACACATTCCTCCACGTACTTGTACTTATCCATCTTCCCTGAGTCTGATACGGAGACTGGCCCAGAAAATAGGTGCTGCATCTCTAGAGGTGCAAACCCCTTTAGGTCTCTCTCACTCCCCACTTGGACTTTGAGTTATCTTTCCTCCTTCCCTCTCTGTTCTCAGTGCTCTGCCCCCACTCCCACCCCAACATACTCACTGTAAACGACTTTGCAAATTCAAAACAATATAAACCCATGGAGGTTTGAAGGCAGAGAAATTTACTGTTCATCTTTTTAACCTCTAGAAGTTAGAGGAACTACTAATCTCAAGAAGTTTATAGCCCTGCCACAGTGTGCAATAGGTGTTAAGTATTTTTCTCAATTAAATTATTGATAAACACTTAGCATTTCTTTGGTTCAGCTGTCAAATCCATATGTTCTTGCAATTGTATAATAATTGTATCTTAATGCAGACAGTAATTCTTCATAGTATATGATTTAAAGTAAGGGTTACAATAACTTTAAAGTAATGATAATAAGAGCTAGCATTTGCAGACATTCACTTTGTACCAGACAGCATACACAGAGACCTGTTTTGCAGCTGGTCCATTCTAGTAGCAATTTGTGAGTAGGCAGAGAGGTTAAGCAACTTGCCCAAGATTACATATATACTAAGTGGAAGATCTGAGATTTGAGTCCAGGATTATGATTTGAGAGTCTGTGATGTTAAGTGTTAGGCTTTGTTGACATGGCTGTTTAATTAGTTAAGTAAAAAATGGGATTTGTAGTTCAAAGAGAATGCACAAGGGTTTTGTAAATGTGCTATATGCTTTGACCACACTCAGATGTTAGTTTGGAAGCATCTTCCTTGTCATCTCTCTAGACTCTACTTCTATTCAGATTATGAGAGTATGGTTGTCCTATCATTCATTTTCCCTTTTGACATTTTCTTTTCCAGAGATCATCTTGCCTGGGTTCAAGAAGAGTGGAACTCCAGGAAAAACTGGTGGCCACACTTTCACTTCAGCTTGTTTTGGGCAAAAAGTGATTGGAAGGAGGATAAAGCCTTAGCTTGTGAGAAAGCTCTGGTAGCTGGAATATTATTAGGAAAAGGTACTTTTTCTTTTTCCTTGACATGGCTTTTGAGTGATTTTTAAATTCCAAAGGATGGCCATTCATATTGAAGCTTACCTGATAAAGGACTAACACACTAGATGCAGGAGCATTGTCCGGAGAAAGGAGTTAGGACAAGTAATCTTAAAAGGAATCCATAGATTAAAAAATAAGAGTTTTCATGTTGTTGACTGTGATTCGTCTTTATGCACTAAACTTTATTGTCTTTAGGCACCAGTAAGATAGGGGATGCAAAAATTCTCATCACAACAAATTTTATAGTTCTGTATGACGATGATGCTAACAACTACACTTATTCTGGGATCATTTTCAACGTATCCTAATATCAAATCATTAATGCTTAGACCTGAAACTAATGTAATGCTATGTGTCAGTTATAACTAAAAATGAAGAAAATAGCATGTACAGACTCTTTACATAACAAAACACCATTTAGAAAGCTATTTACTGTTTAGAAAGTTTGCTGAGATTGTCTGGTCTTTTAGAAGTCTTTTAGAAAAGATGTCTTTTCATTGGTTTACAATAGTTCTCTGTTACTGTATTTCTTATCTGTCCTATAAAGATGAAACCTTTTCTTCCTTTAAGAAAAAAATACCTTACGTTAACTCACTTAATGATCCTCTTATGGAAAAGGAAAGTTGAGCTTTTTTGGTGGAATATTGTGGATGTGAAGACTCTGGCATGCTTTTGTGCCACTGAAATAGCTAGTCAAGTCAGTCCTCATTTTGACACACTGCGTCTGATGGGGAGAGTGAGCCTCATTGTGTCCTGGAGTAAGCAGTTGTTTTGGAGAGTCTAGGGCACCCTGAAGAGTTTCTTCATTCCAGTATGGTTTGCATTATTATGGAATTAGCATTCTTAGGAAATGTTTCAGATTACTACATTTAATAAAATACTGGGGACAAAACAGATTAAAATATAAGAAAGGAGTTTGAAGATTTCTCTGTAATATGCTCATGACAAGGAACAGAAATATGATTCAACTGTGATTTCTGACTAGTTTTTATGGGTATAGAGCTATCTATACAGGTATCTAAAGGCATCTATGGTCAAGCAGAGTCTGAAGACCTGAGTTAACCCTCCAGCTCTGTGTCTTACTCGCCATGTCTTTTCAGTTGAGCAGTTACTCTGCAGGAGCTTGTTCTGTTTACTTACGGCATAGTGATCAACGTCAAGTGGATATCACAGTGCCTTACACATACTAACCTACTCTGTCTTGAAAATGGACACATTTCATTTAGGAGGGTAGTGTAGGGTGGAATCAGTCTTTTCAGGAGGTAAGCTGGATTTTGTTCTGCTCTGGTTTCCATCATTACATTCTAGGACTCAGGTTGCTTCATACCTCGAGCAGAGTGACTGCCCTCCTCTCCATGCTCTGCTAACTGCAAGCTGGGTCCCTTTCTCCTTTGAGTGACACTTCCTTCTAACTAGGCCATTTGGCTGCCCTGTGACTTCTGCTCTGCTGGGCTCCAGGAAAGTCAGGTGTTTGTAACATATTTGGCCTTTCTCTATGTCTGAATGAATGCAGGTTGTTTCCAACTTTCTATAGGTGAAAGCAGAAATCTATAAAGTATTTTGCTCTGGCTAAAGTAATAGATGTGTTTAGAGATAAATGATTATATTAGTACACAGACACCACTGTTGCTCAGCTGATAAAATATTAGCAATTCAGGTGTACTTTTCTCCAGGGATAATGAAATGGTTACTAGAGGTACAGGTATATCCTGGCAATTTCCTGGAGGAAAATGGAGGTATATGCATGTGTACATGCCTCTGTGTATGTGTGTGTGTGTGTGCATACTGAGACTGTAATTAATGTTTCATGTTTGATTTAGATGTCATTCATTTATCAGATATGAAATAACCTCTTATGATATCCAAGCTTCATTTTTCTTACAGAAATTTGATACTCTAAAATATTTGACAAGTGATCCTGGTAGCTGGAATGACTAGATCAATTTATTCTATCTTACAATATGTTTATTCTAATTCTTCACATGAAGGTTTTCTACTAAGAACTTTCTTACTGTTATAGATGTATCTTTGTGTTATAAGATAGCATTGAGAGGGAAACTAATAATTTGCCTTTTGGAGATTTGTGTTACATATATATATATATATAATATGCATATAACCTTAATGAGTGTTTTGCTAAGGAAGTATAGAAAGCCACTAACACATGTGCTTTAATTACAATGGATCAGAAATGTCTGTGTAAGAAGCTGTCGTTTCATTGGTGAATTTGCTGGGGACACACTAATACAGATGACACAAAAGAGTCTGTCTTCATAATCATTAGGATTCCAGAGCTGAAGCATAATTTTAAGAATGTAGAATTATACTTGAATTTGATTAATATTAACTTTTTTTTATTTTGCTCTATTGTGTTTTAGGTTGTAGATACTTTCGATATATTTCAAAACAAGATCATCACGTCTTAACAAAAAAAATTAAGCAGATGAAGAAAGCAGTGAAGAAACTCAGTATTGTAAATCCATGACACTGATGTTGAAATTTATTTCGGATTAGAAACTGCAGAACAGTAGCTCAGAATTCTGGTGGTTGTTGAATGTATTTATTTGTTATTTTAAGAAGGTAGTTTGTATGGTTACAAAAATTTTTTTTCATGTTTTCTATGAATTACACCTAGAGAAAGTCTCACTGCCTTTTTTCTTTGTGAAAGTATATATTTTATACTGTAATATTTATTAAATAATTCTTGAAATAAAAGACTTGTTTAATTAGAAAATTATCTTCATACCAGTTATTGCTTTTTAGTGATAATTTGCCTTTGACTGCTATGTAAAGCTTGTGAAATGAAATTATGTTCACCTTTGATTCTAAATGATATTTAAGATATTAAGTCTATTAAGAAAGTTTGGAAACAGAAGGATTTAGACACGGTAGTAAGACATTGCACTTTGGGCTAAGTGACCTGATAGAGACGTACTATGGGTCAGGGAAGGTGGAGGAAACTGGCTGCCTTCAGCTGTCAGTGGCCTAATTTCAGGACTGTAGGTTGTTTTGTCTGGCACAGAAATCTTCGACACTTCAGAGCTCATATGTCCTTTTCCCTTCTTTTGAGAACTAAGATGCAGCAGTAGGTAACTTGGTATCCTTGGGTCACACAGGAAACCCACTGGGAAAGCTTAACTGAAAGCCAAGAACAGCTTTCCTAAAATGCCTGCTGAGCTTTATAACATGTTACGATGACTGGTAGGGTGAGTGCTTCTTCAAAACTCTCTTGGCTCTTATACCTTTATTGTCCAATAACCAGTATGTGAGTTCCATGAAAACTCCCAACTTCAGAACAAGTCCAATATTTAGATGGCAAACCACACATTTTCCTACTGACTTACATATACACCTACTAATTTTAAGCCACCTGAGAGGAAATTAGGACAAATTTATGTTTTGTTAGCAATTTAATTGAGTATTTTACATTTAGTAAGAACTACCAACAACTAGTGATCTAACCATATATAAGGTTCTTTAACCTTTTCAGTTTCACTTCTTCACCAATCCCTGTCCGGCGTTGGCCATTGTCCACTGCCTAAAAATAGTTCTTTCGTGTTTTTTATTTAGGTCAGAAGATAGGCAAATTCAGTTCTATTAAAATTAGGACCTTTTACCTATTAAATGATGCCTTAAATACCACCTATACTACAAGCAGCAGTGATCGCAACACAAATTAACAGAAGATGAAAATAAACTCAAAGCAATAGAACAGTGCAAAGAATCTGGTGGGGGAAACTGGCATACCCATACCTTGATCTCAACTTGGATCTCCAACTGTGGGACAGCACATTTCTCTTGCTATAACAACCCAAGTTGTATTACTGGTTATCACAGCCCCAACAAGCTAATATTATACATATATGTAAAACCATGTTCACTTCCGAAGGGGGAGCTAAAGTGATTTAGGTGTTAGGTCCCAACTTATAGTTTCAGACTCATCTAATCAGAATCTGCTTTCTGTTCTTCCTCACCTGTACCTTAATCTGTGTGTCCGTGCAGACTTCACTACGACGTCTCCGTGCCTTCCAGCCTGATGTCACTCTACCCCTTAGCGTGCCTAGTGGCAATAGGTTCCTTCCTTCTTAATGTAACCGTCTTGCATTATCTGGACACTTATTTTCATCTTCTCAGAACTTAAACTTGAAAAGTTTGTTTCCTGTATCAGATTTTGCACCTGGTAATAACACACCTACTCAATGGATACTGAGCCATCTACTGTGAGATTTGTTGCTGCATAATTATTACAAAATCACATGTTACATAATTATATCTAGAATATTTATGTAATCCCATCTGAAATGTTAACATTTAATCATCAGAAACTTAATAACTGTCATTATGTATAAGGGACCTGCAAGTTGAGCTTGCTGTGTTAATTTGTAATCATTCTTGGCCCAAAACAGTAAGATCTGATTTGAATCCTGGGTTAGCAGATTTCTGTTTTATGACCCAGTTTTTTTTTTTTAAATGCTGTGCTATATATAATTCTATAATTGGAATCAATTATTTTTTGGGCTCAGTATTTTTTAGATGAAAAAAACACTGAGACAGATGTCAAGGAAAGATCAGAAAGTACTCTGAGAGCCTCCACGGAGTGAGAGAAGGCACTCTTTCTTACACTCTGCAGGGTCAGAAGGTTCCTCCCACTTCTGAGAAGCTCTTGGTGCCATGAATTCACTGGCTGAAGGTCCAAGTGTTACTTCTCCTGCCCAGGGCTTTCAGAGCAATGACATTATTTGACCTTTGAGTAAACAACCATGTGGAAACTTTGAGTTGTGGATGCTTGTTATGTTTAAAAAGCGACATGGACTACGTCTGATGGGAGCAGTCCAAAGAGAACACAGGGCTGTGTTGGCCATCAGTCTAGACACCAGTCAATTATAAAAATGTAAATTTTTTGGTATTTTTTTTAAGTGTGATGAATATTCAGTGTGATCTTGGGCTTTCATACCCCAGAGCACAATTTGGCTGGATGGAGGCTCACTGCCCCCTTTTGATGACATGCTAGCAAAGGCTGTTGTGTGTGGGACTCTCCCCTTACAAGCCCATCTGGACCAAGAAGAATCTTCAGTTTCATCTGCATTATACCAGGCAGCTTCTGCCAGTGAGATCATTCCTTGTGGAGAGGAGCCAGGGGAAGTGCCAGGGCCCAATGTCCACTGCAAGCCACATCCTGGCTTAGGCCTCCTTTTGGGTTTTGGGCTATTTGAGTTGGGGCCCCACGATTTCATCCACTCATTCAGTATCTGTTAAAGACCCACTCTGTGCAAAGGGGACTCGTAGAAAACGTGGCACATTCTTAAAATCTAATGTTGAAATACATACTGAGCAGCAGGAGCAGTACAGTTTTCCTACCGGTGATTGACCGTGTTGATTCATGAGAATATTTGTCTCTTGTTCCTTGTTACCAGATTAATCTGCTCAGATGTAGATTGATTCATCATTTTTCTCATGCTTGGATGCTTAAATGGTTTTCCTTTACCCTCTAATCTCAGAATTTCATTTGGGTATAAAGCAGTGGCAGCTTAGAAGATAGTTATATTTTAAAGACTGCCTTAAGATGAAATCCAGTGTAATTGATCCCTGAAATGATCCCTGAAAATCTCTTAAAATTGTGAGTAAAGTTCTTGAGCTAGCCTTATAACTAGAATTGCTGGAAAGTGACATATGGGTATGAATATTTCATGAATAGAGTAAGTACAATATATAATAAAACCCCATCTCAACAGTAGACTTCATCACACCAATAATTAAATAACTATTAAATAACTGCAACTGTAATTAAGCTATTTCAGTATCACTAAATATGGTTGAATTTATATAAATTTTTTTAAAGTTTATTTTTACATCATTTTGCACATTTTTTTTTCATCTCCATTGTAATCCCCACGGGTTTCCCATCACCAAATCACCCCTGTGCCACCACCATAGTCCCGTGCATTTCCATCCCTCCCACCCCC